CTTGGAAGCAACCAGAAAGCATAAAAAATACCAAAACAGATACTCAATTAAGTATTAAGGCCACAGATAAATACTAAACATGTCCAAGAAGCAAAAGCAGATGACCAAATCAACACATGTCCAGAAACAAGATAAAATATCTGAGACAAATGACCTGGAGGTAGACCTGGGCTACATTCTAGAAGGAAGGCAGGCCTTGGAAATGCCTGAGAAAGAATTCAGGAAAATGATTATAAAATGTTTCAAAACACTTTACAATGGAGTTGAGAAAAATAAGGAAGAAGTCAGGAAAGCAGTACAGGAACAATCAAATAAGATAGATACAGCATTGGAAAAAATTCAAAACCAACAGAAAGAGATCCAAATGATCAATAATAGAATATCAGAAATAGACAATACCCTGAAAGAGCAAAGGAGTAGAATAGACGAGATGGAAGGCAGAACCAGTGAGTTGGAAGACAAATCTCTCAATACCACTAAGATAAGAGCAACCAGAAAAAAGGATACAAAAATCTAAAGAAGATCTAAGATTCATGTTGGACAACATGAAGAGGAATAACATAAGAATTATCGTCACTCCAGAATAAAAATAATCACACACATCCACGGAGGAAATAGTTGAAGAACTGCTGGAAGAAAAGTTCTCCAACATCCTGAAAAGTAAAAAGATAAACATTCAAGATGCTCAACGAACCCCAAGAAGGATAGACTCTAAAAGAAAATAACTGAGACATATCATAATCAAGCTCTTCAAAATCAAAGATAAGGAGACACTCCTGAAAGCAGCTAGGGAAGACAGAAGTGTCACATACTAAGGCAAGCAAGTCAGATTAAGCTCAGATCTCTCAGCAGAAACTATGCAAGCAAGAAGGCAATGGGGAGACATATATAACACCCTGAAAGAAAAATACTGCCAACCAAGAATCCTTTATCCAGCAAAGCTATCAATCAAATACGATGGTATAATCAAACCTTCCAGGATAAACAGAAGCTAAAGGATGTTGCCAAAACCAAAATAGATGAGCGGGACATACTAAAAATTAAAAAGTTATGTTCATCAAAAGACTTCACCAGAAGAGTAAAAAGAGAACCCATAGAATGGGGAAAATCTTTTGCAATAACATATCAGACAAGGGACTTATTTCTAAAATATATAAGAAACTGCAACATCTCTACAAGAAAAAGACAAATAACCCAATTAAAAAATGGGTGCAGGACATGAACAGACACTTCACCAACGAGGAGATCCAAGCAGCCAACAAACTTATGAAGAAATATTCACGATCACTTGCCATTAGAGAGACGCAATTAAAAACAACAATGAGATATCATCTCACACCAGCAATAATAGTAAAGATCAAAAAAGTAGAGGACAATAAAAGCTGTCAGGGATGTGGAGAGACTGGGATACTCTTGCATTGCTGGTGGAATTGCAAAATGGTCCAACCTCTCTGGAAAGCAATATGGTGCTTCCTCAGAAGGTTGGGAATAGAAATATGTTATGATCCAGCAATTCCTCTACTTGGTATTTACCCACAAGAAATACGAGCCATAACATGAGTAGATATATGCACACCAAAGTTCATAGCAACACTATTTACAATAGCAAAAAGATGGAGACAGCCAAGTGCCCACCAACTGAAGAATGGATAAACAAACTGTGGTGCATACACACAATGGAATATTACGCTACCTTGAAGAATAACAAGGAAGCTGAAAGCCACCACATAACATGGATGAACCTTGAAGACATTATGTTGAGTGAAATTAGTCAGTCACAAAAAGAGAAATACCACTACTGTAAAGGACTAAGAAAAAAAGCCTATACTGAAGCAGAGGAATTACTTGCTGTGGGTGAGGTGAGGGGAAGGAGGGGAAGGTGGAGCACAGGGCAGGGAATAGACACAGGATAGTGTGGGTGCTAGGGAGGGAAACAATACACAAGAAGGGGGAGGGGAATGGAAGAACAAAGCAGATGAGAGAACAATTAGGCAGGTTTGTATGGGTTAAGTGGGACAGAGGTAAATAATGATATATACACAACCTTGGAACAACTGGGCTCTGGGATATAGGGATTGATATATGGTTGGAATGGGCAAAAGGGGGAAAATAATGTTAAGATGCTTAGCTGTCTTTTGAATCTTGGTTTCCCTTTCATACTATTATAAAATAGACACTTGAGGGGAAGAGAAAGGAATAGCCAGAAATATCACCATAGAAAACTTGTAAATCCATAAGGCTTAGAGCCTCTTCATTACATAAGACTATAGGTGGAATCCTGAACAGCATCCAGAATCTTCAGAGGTGGGAAATTTCCACTTGAAATAACAAGCAGATCAGCCTGGAGCGACTAGAAGAACAGAAGATACTTCTAGAAAGAAAGACTGACAGGAAAAATACAAAACAATATAGGCAGACCAACTGACTACTACAAGAACAAGCAAGTTGCTCGCCCAGGAGCAAGTGGTTGGGTCTCCTCAGAGCAAACCCCCTTCCAAGACTAAGACTCAATCAGAATACACGCTCTGATTGGTGACCACGTTTGTCACCAATAAGGGGAAGTGAGGGAAAAACAGCAAGGAAGCTGTGAGTTAAGCCCTACAACGTTCCATAGACTCCTGTGAACCCAGGTGGAGACCTGGTTGGCCAGCAATGTGGCAAGAGCTGGGGACTCTTGGGCAGGTGACATAGCCACAGAGGACTAGAGTGAAGAGTGAAGTATCCAGCTGATAAGAAGAGAGGGCATATGCACAAGAACACCCACACTTGCAGATAATACCCACTTGACCTGGCTTCAATGACTAGATGATCAGAGCTCAACCAGAAGAAGAAAGAAGAGGAAAAAAAGAGTAATCTGATACAATTTGATGAACCTGACCTACACCTATGGATGCAGTAGCTCAAAAGAGGAAACAAATTTTTACAAGAAGAATCATTCCCACTCCCTCCATACATAGTAGACAGGGATGGGCAACTTGGACATTGGCTACCCAAAATGGGGGAGGGAAGGCTACAAAGGCAAGAAGTGACTGGCTTACAAACTTTCAAGAGGGAGCCTAGATCCAGAGGGCATGGAAGAAGGTAGAATCTCCACTGAGTAGTATCCAATGTGTCTAGGTGGGGCTGATGAAAGGAAATGCAGATAAGTCTCTTGTGATACAATAGTGAACAAATGTTATCAGGACTGATTGTGAGGGTTGAAAATGTAAAGGTAGACATTTTGTAGCAAGTAGGGGAGTGAATAACTTTTCAGTCTAGGAGCGGAAGTCCCTGGGACCATCAAGGGAGAAGAGCAGAGAACAGGACCCTACCTAGAGAAGCAGTGATGCCAGAGATGGAGGTGGAGACAATGACGTTGAGAGATGGAGTGGCGGGGACTTTAGACCCAGAGAGGGAGAGGGGTTGTATGCTGACGCTAGGGGGCAGGCTTGTAGTGTATACCCTTTGGTTGGTTGATGATGTATGGAGGGGATTGTAACCATGGCAATGAAAGGAAATATGATAGAATGAATGTAAACTAATGTTCTCCCATGTAAACTATCACATAATTCACAATAAAACATTTTTTTTTAATGTATTGGTACAGTGGCAGCAGCAATGGCTCAAGTGTTAACAATTGTGAGGGTGGCGCAGGATTGGGTAGTTTTTCGTTTTGTTGCACTTAAGATTACTATGAGTTGGAATGGACTAGGTGGCACCTAACAACAACAGCAACAACATAACCCTAAAAATGAGCCCAAACCTTAATCCAATCACTAGTCTAACCCTTAGCTGTAGTAACACTAACCCTAGTCCAAACTATAACCCTAGCAGCTAAGGAATTCCTAGGCCTAGCAAAGACCTAATCATAGTTCCAACCCTAGCCTTCACTACTTACCCCAACCTAAGATTAATTCATTAACAAGAGAAAAAACAACCTATGGAGCACAGTTCTACTGTGACACACATGGTGTTGCCAAGAGTTAGAAATGGCTCAATGGCATCTGATATTGTTCCTACCTTTCTCTGCATTCTTCCTCTATCAAAGGAGGACAGATAAAATCAGTTTTCCCTCTTTTTGTAGAAGGAAACTAGAACCCTGTCAGTCTATGTCCTGCACATACCCACCTTGGAAGCAGAAAGGAGTATGGAGAGGGAGGTGGAAGTACAGATCACAGTGAATATCAAAATGCAAACAGTTAGGAGCGTGTAGAAAAAGAGTAAACCTACACTTTGGAATCCGTGGGACATCCAGAAACCTTCTTCTATTAAAGAAAGCCACAAGTCCTTTCCTTTTGATCCTTCTTAACAACCAGCTGTATTTCCCTAAATGGTCTCAGACCTTGCAGGTATTTGGAGACATGGGCAACAACATCAATATCACCACTGAAGCAATATTGCCTTATATGCACCCGGCATTGTGCGAGAAGCTTTGGATAAATTGGTGAACAAAGCAGAGATTCACCAAAGGAGCTAACGTACTCAGGGTTACTGGTGTTTTAGCAGAGAAGGCACACTGTACTGTAGCGTGGGACAGAGAAGACTTCCCGGGGAGGGTAAATATCTGGAGGCATCCCAAGCAGATGGTAGAAACGAGAGAGTATCGCCACTACCACGTTTAAAAACCTGGATACACAGACTGTTCGGACAGACCCGTTTACCATCTCCTTCCAATTCCCACTCCAAGGTCTACAAAGAAGGGAATGGAAATGCATTGTTTTAATTCTGCTTTCCTCTATCCCATTGAGCTGAGAGAGCTCAAATGCGTGGTTCCTTGAGTCAGAAACTCAGGCCAAAGGCACACGTCTTGCTACCAGCTAGGGCCGCGGACGGGAAAGAGTCTGGGGTGACGCGAGGGAGGATGGGGGCGGCGAGGTGACGCGCGCAGGAACAGCACCATTTCGGCCCACGTGTCCTCGAGATTAAAAAGTTGGCAGCGAACGGGGCGGTCACTCCAGCTGCCCAGACCAGCAGAAGCTCCGCCAGGGGTCTTGATTCGAGAGCCACCTGCAGGCGCCGAGATGCAGCCAGCAGACAGCCGCCGTCCCTGGGAGACCCCCGGCCAGGTGGCCGCAGCGTCCCCTCTTCTACTGCTGTTGCTGCTCACTGGCAGTATGGGCACTTGCCAAGGTAAGGTAGCCTGCGTGCACCCCGCACCTCTCTGGCGCCGGCTCGGGGCTGCTGTCGTGCGGTGCGCCCTTCTGTCGCCTCCCCACTCCACTGGTTGCTCTGCACCTTTACCTTCCTTTCTCGCCTCTTGGCTTCAGGGAGTTTTTTGAATCTTGTGCCTCGGGGCTTCCCAATTTCTCGCCCTTGACTTCAGACTGGACGACCGGGTTAGGTCAGGACTCACAGCAGCCAAGGCGCGGGTGGCTCTGCTTTGACGCCTTGCAGAGGTTCAGCTGCGGGACAGACTATAACTGAAGTAAGGCTGTAGGACTCCCTCCGATTCAGGGTTTGTAGCCCCTGTGGCCCGTGGATAACAGGAATTAGAATAGTGACACTTAAAATAAATTTATTTTGATTGCAAGAGATTGGTGGTTGAAGCAAAACAAGCGTCCTTTTGATATTTCACCTGCTGATGCGAGGTAAACATAGTGTTCAACTTCTTTGGTAGAGTGAGCTCCTATCTGTTCTGACAATCCTGCGCAATGAAACGGCCCCATCCTAGCCGTTTAGAAAGGGGAAATAGTAGGCTCTGCTTGATAGAAAGGACATCGGGTGGCACTGTAGGGTAAGTATTGGGCTGCTAAGCTCAAGACCCGGTTCAAACCCACCTGGCGCTCTGCAGGTGAAAGATGAGGCTGTTTGCTCCTTAAGCAGTTCGAAATTACCAGCTGTTCCGTGGGAGAAAGATTTACAGCCTCGGAAACCCTGTGCAGGGTCGCTATGAGTCGGAACCGACCCCACGGCACATAACAACAAACCCTAAGGACTAGTTCTACAGTGTTACAGGGTCACTTTGAGTGGGAATCGACTAGATGGTGGGGGGAGGGGGTGGCGCATAGGTGGGTCACTGATAGAAAGGATCCCTGGTGGTGTTGAGGGTTAAGCATCAGACTGCTTACTGAAAGGTCAACCAACCACTCCACTGAAACCAATTCTATTCTGTCCTGTAGAATGGCTATGAGTCAAAACTGACTGGATGGCCAATGGATTTGGTTTGTTTGTTTGGGTGCCTGGCAGACTTTCAGGCACCAGATCAGGGAAAGAATAGAGGTTTTCTCCTCATATAGAGTTGGAGAGGCAGTGTGCAAATGGGCTTTCAGACAATATTACTGCTTAAGTGGGTGAAGGTGGATATGGTTTGGCAACAGTATGGAGACCTGTCAGAGGAAGCTGCAACACGTTCCCTAATGATGGAGAAATGATGGAGAGATCATTTTGCTCAGTTCCCTAAAATGACTTGTCAGGTATTTGGGGAGACTATCATCCATAGCCAAGTTCTCACCACTGCCCTACTACCAGCACAAATTTTCCAACTTTCCAGCAGTTTCTCTTAACTTCCCTCTGGTGTTGCTGTTGCTAAGTGCCATAGAGTCAGTTTCGACTCATAGCGACCCTGTGTAGGGTTTCTGAGAAGCAGTTGATGGGTTTGAACTGCTGACCTTGTGTTTCAGAGCCCAGTGCTAATCCTATAGCACCTCACTAGGAGTCCAACTTCCCTCTGCTATTCTTATAATTGGTTAAATGTAGATAGACTGTTTCATCCTTGTTCATATTGTTGTTCTTACGTGCCATTGAGTCAGTTCCGACTCATAGCAACCCTGTATAGAGTTTCTTAGGAGCGGATGGTGAGCTTGAACCTCCGACCTTGTGGTTCAAATCGACCTTGCAGTCCAGCGCATTAATCCACAGCGCCACATAGAGACTTAAAATTCTAACTGCAGAGACCTTTTAGATCACGTAGTCCAGTTTTTAGTTGTGTTGTTTCTGTAAGTTGCCTTTGAATGGCCTGTGACTCGGTGCTCGTAGATATAATGCCAGGTCCTTTGTCACTGTCATGATCACTGATGTGTTTAAGTCCTTTGTGGTCATTGTGTAGTGCCTTCCAACCCAGGGAGCTCAATGTCCAACACTACCCTGCACAATATTCTGTTGTGATACACAAGGTTTTCATTGGCTAATATTTGGAAGTACATTGCTAGACTTTTCTTCCTCATCTTAGTCTTCAAGCTTCCTTGAAACCTGACCACAGTGGGTCACCGTAATGGTATTTAAAATACTACTGGCATAGCTTTCAGTATCATCCCAACACACACGTTTGCCACCACAGTCCAACAAAATGACAGATGAAGTGTGGGTCCGAGGTGATTACTTTTTGCTTACTCAGTTTGCTTTTATTTCTAGCCTTTCATTGTTCTTGTTTTCTCCTTTCCTTGAGGCACTGTCTGGTGTAAAGGGGGGAAAAAAGGAAATTTGGCTTTAAAATTGAAGCACTCAGAAGCTAAACTTGCTCCATAATATAGCCAACACTGATAAATCATGATTTATGTGAAAAATAATATTATTGGTTTTAGTCTTTAATTTGTTATGGATAAAATTAGAGTGGTATCATACCTTTTAAAGTCAGCTGTTCAAATTCACCATCCACTCCTCAGAAACCCAATACAGGTTTGCTATGAGTCAGAAACAATCGACAGCACTTACCAATAACCACAGCAAAGAAGCAATAATCGTGCTTTTTAAAAGTAGCTTTGCTATATAAAGCAAAAGAGCTTCACATTCATGTTACGTGCCATATGTTTCAGTGGTTTTGCTTTAATGTTGTTGCTAAATGCCTTTGCGTCTGTTCCAACTGTTAACGACCCTGTATTGGGTTTTGAAGGAGCAGCTGGTTAGTTTGAACTGCTGACCTTGTGGTTAGCAGTCTAGTGGCTGATCCTACAGCACTACATTAGAACTATTAAAAGCAGTTCAGAAGGGTCAACGTGATGGCATTTGAAGCATCAGAGGACAATCTTATACCTTTGCTTGAAGAATATTGGTGGTGTTTAT